CGCTATCATCCAGAAGCTCGCCGCCGCAATCTCTCCGACCCCATCCGGCTGGTCCACCAACACCCCGTTCTGCGACTGGAAAGAAATCCGCTGCGACGCCTCCGACCGAGTTACCTCCATTAACTTAGCCTCCAAATCCCTCTCCGGCGTCCTCCCTTCCGATCTCAACTCCCTCTCTCAGCTCACTTCTCTCTCTCTTCAACGCAACTCCTTCACCGGCTCCATTCCTTCCTTTGCCAATCTCTCTTTTCTCCAATCTCTCTATCTCGACAACAACAATTTCTCCTCTGTTCCTCCCGCCGCCTTCCAAGGCCTCACGAGCTTGCAGATTCTGAGCCTATCCCAGAATCTTAATCTTGCCCCTTGGTCCATTCCCACTGATTTGACTCAGGCTTCTAATTTGGTTAGTTTTTACGCTGCAAATGCCAACATCGTTGGCTCCTTGCCCGATTTCTTCGATTCGTTTTCTACTTTGCAGGAGCTTCGTCTTTCTTACAACAATCTTACTGGGGTTTTGCCCAAATCTCTCGGTGGATCTGGGATTAAGAGCTTGTGGATGAACAATCAGGTAATGGGGTTGTCCGGTTCTATTGATTTGTTGTCGTCTATGACTCAATTGACTCAGGTTTGGCTTCATAAGAACCAATTTACTGGCCAAATTCCAGACCTCTCCAAATGTGAGGGTTTATTTGATCTTCAACTTCGTGATAATCAATTTACTGGGATTGTTCCTCTGTCGCTTATGCACCTTCCTAGCTTGTTGAATGTTAGTTTAGATAACAATAAGCTTCAAGGGCCATTGCCTGTGTTTGATTCAAGAGTACAGGCGAGTTTTAGTAGTGTGAATAGGTTCTGTAAGACAACACCTGGGCAATGCGATGCTCAGGTTTCTGTGCTTCTTGAGGTCGCTGGGGCTTTCGGGTACCCTATTTCGCTGGCATCCGCATGGGAAGGAGATGATGCTTGCCAGAATTGGAGATTTGTGGTTTGTACTGATGGGAAGGTTACTACAATTAACATTGGGAAGCAACTTTTTGTGGGGATGATCTCTCCTGCATTTGCCAATTTGACGAGCTTGAAGAATTTGTATTTGAATGACAATAACTTAACCGGCGAGATACCGGCGAGTTTGACGACGTTGGCACAGCTTCAGACACTCGACGTTTCGAACAACAATTTGAGCGGACAAATTCCCAAGTTTGCTGCATCAGTCAAGTTGAACACGAAGGGTAATCCCCTGATTGGAACAGGTTTGACCCCTGGAGGACATGATGGTGGGAAGATTGATTCCAATGGCACAACCATAGATAACCCTTCTTCTGGATCTTCCAATGGATCCTCTGTTTCAGCTGGTGTGATTGTCGGTGTTGTCATCGCTGGTCTTGTTTTTATTGCTGTCTTATTGTTTGTTGTCTTCAAATGTTATGTAAGCAATAGGCATAAGATGTTTGAGAAAGTGAACAATCCTGAGAATGGGAAGGAGATTGTCAAGAGTGATGCATGGAGTGGCTTGAATGGTTATGCTGGAGTTCCAAGTGAGCTGCAAAGTCAGAGTAGTGAGGATTTCAGCAACAACATCCATTCGTTCGACGGCGGGAACGTGGCGATATCGATACATCTTCTAAGGCAAGTGACGAACAATTTTAGTGAGGATAACGTGCTGGGTAGAGGAGGATTCGGAGTCGTTTACAAAGGAGAGTTGCATGATGGTACCATAATTGCTGTGAAAAGAATGGAGTCTGGTGCAATGGGTACTAAAGGAATGAATGAGTTTCAAGCTGAAATTGGTGTGCTTACTAAAGTAAGACATAGACATTTGGTTGGTCTGTTGGGTTATTGCATTAATGGCAATGAGAGGCTGTTGGTGTATGAGTTCATGCCGGAAGGGACATTGACACAACATTTATTTGATTGGGAAGAGAATGGCTATGCGCCACTTACTTGGAAACAAAGAATTACAATTGCTTTAGATGTGGCAAGAGGAGTTGAATATCTCCATAGCTTAGCTCAACAAAGCTTCATTCATAGAGATTTAAAGCCTTCTAATATTCTTCTTGGCCATGACATGAGAGCTAAGGTTGCTGATTTTGGTTTGGTTAGGAATGCACCGGACGGGAAGTACTCCGTCGAGACACGTTTAGCTGGAACGTTCGGTTATCTTGCTCCTGAATATGCAGGTTTTCTTCTAACTCAATGTCTTAAGTTCGAGGTTATATGTTCGTATTGTTAATACTCGATCTATTTTTGAACAGCGACGGGAAGAGTAACGACGAAAGTGGATGTGTATGCATTTGGAGTAGTATTGATGGAGATCATCAGCGGTCGAAAAGCGTTGGACGACACGATGCCGGACGAGCAATCTCATTTGGTGACATGGTTACGTAGAGTGTTGATCAACAAAGAAAACATCCCAAAGGCGATTGATCAAACGCTGAACCCTGATGAGGAGACAATGGAGAGTATATACAAAGTGTTGGAGCTGGCAGGACACTGCACAGCTCGTGAGCCTCACCAAAGACCCGACATGGGCCACGCCGTCAACATCCTTGGCCCTCTCGTGGACCAATGGAGGCCTACGAGTCATCACGAGGAAGAAACAGAGGGGATGGATGCGGGCATGAACATGAGCCTTCCCCAAGCTCTTCAAAGATGGCAAGCCAATCAAGGAACATCAACCATGTTCAATGACCTTTCTTACTCACAGACCCATTCTAGCATTCCTTCCAAACCTTCGGGATTTGCAGACACCTTTGACTCCATGGATGCCAGATGACCAAGAACAAACCAAAAGGATTCTCAACTGTTCTTCATTTCTCTCTTTTATTTGCTTCATTCTTTATTAATGGAATTTTGGTGCATGCTCGTGGATTCTTGACCCATTTGAATTTGTTATTCCATTCCATTTATTAAGTCGAATAATAATGGTCTTTCATGTTAATTGACATGTTCTTTTCTGCCTTCATATTAGTTGTACTAAGAGTTCGAAATTCGATAAAAAGTTTGATGAGTTGGTATCTGAACCATCGATTCTTCCAGGCTGTGAAAGGTGACAGAAAAGCTTGGAATTCTTTGAGCTCAGAGCCAGCGAAGTGTAAAATGAGTTGGAACAAAGCTGGAAGAAAGAGAGGGAATGTTGGGTTTTCTTTAAGGATTTATTTTGGATGATCATGTGGTTCTTTGCCGAATCTTTGAAATATTTTGGCTGGTTTTGATTGATAACGGATTACGCGTCTTCAAGGGTTTGGAATTTGAAGAACATGTCCCTGTTTTGAGAGAGAAATGTGTGGAGGACTGTTCCGACAATGACTGATTTAAGAAACACATCTCTGACCGACCATCCTGACCGGAGATCCCGCCGAGATTAGAGATAAACTAAGACTTTGTTTATTGATTCAGTTGAAATGTTAGACTTTGGTGCCTCCGGGATGCGTTGCGGATTATTATATTTTCAGGAAAACAAAATTCCTTGTGATCTTTCCTGTTTAATTGAGGAAGTTCCAAGTTTAATATTACATTTAATTAATCTTTGTCGGATGAACAGCGGTTGGACATGCGTCGGTCATCGGCGGCAAAAGCGCATTCCAGCTGGAAACCGAGCGTCGAATGGGTACTAGAAGAACGCGTTCACACCACTATGCTGACATGCATGATTGGAGGATGGAGTTTTGTGTATTTGCGTTTTGGGTGCTTGGTGGATATTATCCCCCCGTTGAGTGTGTGTATGTCTGCTTGGTTGATTGATTATACACTAGCTCTAAGTGATTGAATGTGTCTACTCTTTCTTATTCGATTTGGTACGGTTGAGCTAGACATGAAGTCGGTTAGGGTTTGTGTGACCTGAGTGAGAGTCTAGCTAAGCTACCCTGCGTGGTGGATTCGACCTATAGGAGCATGTTGATGATGAGATAGTCAGCAAAACTGGTACGTACAGGGGTAGTGCCCTCGACCTTGGATGACTCCATGGTTTGTGGGATGGTTTCGTTAGTTATATCCCAGGATGACGAGCAAGCTAGCACTCATTATGGGACTCTGCATTTTTATTTTTATAAAACCCTCCCCTTATTTTGAACATTTTTTTTTTTTTTCATTTAGATCCCTTCAAATTCCTTCTCAATAATTAATTAAAATCAATCAATTTCATTAAAAATTGGAATCAAAATAGTTGAATTTAGTATTACAAAAAAATTTATTGTACTATTAAAATTCATATTAATTATATTAAATTACTTAATTTTAGATAATTATTGTTATATTATTTTTGTTATTTTAAATAATTAAAATAATTTAAAATAATTTATTATAGATTTAACTTTCATTTATTAAAAAAAGAATAATATAAATATTATGTCAACTTAAAATTTTTGAGCCTGATCTTAAAATTATCTTAAAATAAATTATTTTAATAAAATTATATAAACTTTGAAAATACTTTAATATAAAAATAATGTAGAATCAATTATACAAATTTAATTATGAAGTAAATTATTTTAACTGTGATAAATTATTTAAAAAAAAAAACTGATTAACATGTATAAAAAAATTATCATAATAATTTTGTTTAATTATAATTTATTGTTATTAATTATAAAATTAATTTGAATCAGTCCTTTGTAATTTTAAATTATGGTATATTATTAATGAAGGAACAAATAGGCCCAAAAATAATTAATTGATTATAAATGATTGTTACAATTATGAAAAAAAAAATCTAATTTGTAGTAATAACTAATTCTAACTAACCAATTAATTAATAAATAATTTTAGTAAATAAGGAATTCACTCCTTGAATAAACTTTGGTAAAAATGAATAAAATATATATTCAAATAAATTATTATTGATTTATTCTAATTAAATAATTACTTATATTGATTTTTTTTGTAAAAATCAATCAATTAATTAATTGATTAAAATAAAATTACAAACAAAAATGAAAATATTTTAATATCTTAATAAATTTAACAAGTAAATAATAAAAGTGGCGGTTCCATTTAGGTTAGGAGTAAAAATTTTGTTCGTCCACTGGAACCATTTGTTCTTGGATATTCCTCTGTTCTACTTCAATATTCTTATGCTCTGTGGCATTTGAATGTTGATGATGGGCGCGGCGATTTCTACCATTTCTCGTCATTCGCTCCAAAGTAGCCCTGATTTTCGAATCTCTTGCCAATCGAAGGTAATTTTTGAAATCCCTTTTGAATGTCATTATGTTATGATTTAGAGAGAAAATGAATGAATTATAATGTAGAGAGACAGGTCGGAGTTAAGGAGGTATTGTCCAATGCTAGAAAGTTGTTTGGTGTTAGGTATTAGTTCCTGATATTTGGAGGTCTTCAGCGGAGAGGTATGGCGATCGGGTAGTATTACTGGATCCATACCATAATCCTGCTTCCAAAATTACTTATAAACAGGTATCCATACCATAATCTTGTTAGTATTCCTCGTTTGCTTCTTCAGCATAGTCCGTGATTATGTTTTTGCTTCATTTTAGCAACGAAACACCATCTTGTTTCTTATATTACTTACTTTTTTTTTTTTCTTCATAAATTTAAATTTGCAGCTAGAACAAAGTATCTTGAATTTCTGTGAAGGTCTTAGGGCCATTGGAATAAAGCCAGATGAAAAGATTGCACTCTTTTCTGATAATTCATGCCGATTGGCTTGTTGCCGATCAAGGTATGCGTTGATTGTATAAAATATTGTATTTCATTTTGTTATATTTTAATAATTTGGGTTCAAGTATTATGAGTATGGGAGCAATTAATGTTGTTAGAGGTTCAAGATCATCAAGTGAGGAGTTGTTGCAAATATACAATCACAATGAAAGGTTTCTTAAATTGCTTCATATTTACTGTATGTTACAGAGAATCAAAGGTTTTAATATAAACTATGTTTTGGTTTTAAATTTAAACTTTCCCAGTGTAGCATTAGTTGTAGACAACCCTGAATTGTTCAATCGAATAGTTGAAACATTCCGTTCGAAGGCATCCACGAGATGTATCATTCTTCTATGGGGCGAAAACTCAAGCCTGGCAGCTGAGGGACTGGATGGTATTACTTTCTTTGATTATAATGACATCATGGATATGGGATGAGAGTCGTAAACTTATGTTTCATAGTAAGTTATATACATATGAAGCTATCAACTTGGATGATATTGCTACTCTTATCTATACAAGTGGCACAACTGGAAGCCCTAAAGCTGTCATGCTTACCCACAGAAATTTCTTGCACCAGGTTTGTTTCATTACTCTCTTTATTTCACCAACGTATGATGTGTTCTAAGGCTGCTTTGTATGTCAAACATTTTCCAGATAAAGAATTTATGGGATGCTATACCTGCTAAAGTTGGGGATAAATTTCTAAGCATGCTTCCACCTTGGCATGCGTACGAACGGGCTTGTGAATATTTCATATTTACACATGGAGTGGAGCAAACGTACACAACGACAAGAAAGTTAAAGGTATTTCAAACTCCTCTGTATTTGAATTGTCAGGATGATCTTCGTGATTATCAACCAGACTACTTGGTTTCTGTTCCATTGGTGTGATTATAGTTCCCAACAAGGGACAACTGTTGTCTGCTACATCCGATCTTAGCAATGAAACCTTGACAAGCCTGATTTATAGTGAACTCATAAAATGGTTAGACTTTTGTGATGTTCCTATGTTCATCATTAGCCATTGACTGTTCGTTCTTAGTCTTTTGTGAAGAAGGAAGGGTGGTTGATAGCAATATAATATGTTGGTTTAATTCATGCAGGACCTCAGAATGTTCATTTCAAATTGGACCAATCCTCATTGTCAATGAACCATTCACAGTATGAAATTCGTGAATGTAATATAAAAAGATAATGGGTTACTAAGCCCTACAATGGAAATTCGAAGAGACAACGTTACAAGAAGGAAATTGAGAACTTATTCAAGGCAATATAATGTGGATAATTAGTCTCTGGACTTGGACAAACATTTAGCACAAGCTATATATATAAATGACTTTATATGTGATTCAAGGCCATGAATGTAAGTACCAACTTACTATCCTAAGGCCATGAACTTACGCCCCATGTATTTTTACGATAGGTAGGTGCTATTCCAACCCATGCCTCGTTTTTCTCATCTAGATAAGATGTTTTTGTACCATTTTTTCTTAATAGGACGTCATGTTCATGCTTTTGATGTTTTCTTCGGCCCCGACAACATTCATGGACGGGAGGAATTGGGTATTCAAAGATTTTCAGTGATACATTTTCACCATAAAGATGAAATTGAGTTTGAGTTGAGAAAAAGCTTGAATTTGAGTATATTGTTACAAATTAGGAAGAGAGGTCCCACACAAAGTTGGGGAGATAGCAGGAATCAGAAACAAAGATGTTGGGCATCGTGTTGTCTGCAAAGGCTGTAAGGCGCCGATCCGCATTTATAATGACGGTCCCATCAGAGAGTGTCGGCAACACTTCAATAACTTATTTCTTTTTTTATTTCAACCTCTCAAAATAAGGATAGGATAGATTTATTGCGTTTTAATTAGTTTATCTCACATTTTTCTAAATTAATAGTCACCAAACCAAATAAATTTTAGGAAACGCAACAACCTCAATCCATATTTAATGGCTATCTCAATCTTTAAGTTACATTTAATGCCACCCAGTAAAAAATAGGGGAGTGTAGATTGAATTTGAAAAAAATAAAAAAAGTTTCGAATTCATTAGACAGATTCAAGTCAACTTGAACCAAACCAGTCTATTATATGCATATATATTTATGGTTTTCTTCTAGTTCTAGCAACCATGGTAGACGGTTATCTTAGTTCTTTGCCCTCGCTCCATTATCCATAGGAAGTTATGCAAGTGCCATGCCACTTACAACTCAACTCCTCGCCCTTCACACTACAATTATTCTCACTTACCAACCTAATCAATAATAATAATTTATAATATTTTAATTAATGTTTTTATAATATTTTTGGAACTACCAAAATTAACTTTAGTAATTTAGGGAATAAAATAATCCATTGATATGAATGGAAATAAATCATGAAGATGGCATGCAAAACAATAGATGCAAAAAGCAAACACCCAGCATTGAAATCTTGTTGAAAAAGCATGCAAATGATTAGGCTATTCAAACAACAACAACCATTTCATGCTCTTTTTGTAACTTTCTGTTTCTGCTTTTCTTGACCACTTACACCCTCAAACCCTTAAATTCAGCTCTTTACTAAAGCCATATATAATGAAGTATTCTAATCAAATTAGCATCCTACATTCTTTTCATGGTCCCACTTTGTCCCCCACTTTGATTTAACAATTCTCTATTTTATGCACACTTCGACCTAATTGGTAGGTACATAAATTGATCGCGATCACATATCTGAATATAACAATTATGAAAATAGAATGACTAAAAATGTATTCGAAATCAAACGTGTTTTGCTTCGAGTAATTGGGTGACCTCCAAAAAATTTTCATAGACTGAAAACAAAACATGCTAAAAGATCTCGTGTTAGGCTATGAAAACCAATGAAAAGTGAGGTAGGTAAACTCACATTAAATAAAAGCTCAATAATATATTCACAAATAATAATAATAAACATACGCAATATTTTGTAAACTAAACTATGATAGAACCTAAAAAGAGAGAAAGGAAAAGGACAAGTGAGGTGAGAATAAATATGATATAATTCATTTAGAGGTGTATGTAATGCATCTTTTATACATACATGATGACACAAGAACATCCTAATAAAAAAATTAAAAAAAAAAACTGTAATTCTTCCAATACTCAGAACAAATGCAGCAATCTATGAAACATTGAAAAAGAAAATGAAGAACAGAAAATAGGAGCAAAAACTTGAACAATGGGATGAGGATGTATGAAAATTCTTACTTGGTGAATTATATTATCCGGCAACAACCCTGATTTCCATTGTTCTTCATCCAAATCCGCAACATTTTTTTATCAGATTTTTCTGGAAAATGTGTACTTAAAATGATCAGGATCATCAAATCCTTCACTAGGATCTTTCCCATCCCTGATCTTCCTTCTAACATCTTCAACTCTTTCAAGAATCCCTTTTACAGCTAAATCAAATGCATCTTCAAAATCCATAAATTTCGATCTGGGATCTGCATAAACAATCCTTGGAATAATTCTTATAACCTCCTCTCTCATGGCGGATTCCCTGTCCTTGGGAATCCCATTCAATATCCCCTCAATGCTCTCGTTCCAATTTTTCACATCCCTCACAGGTATATACACAGAATAAGCTGTTCGGTTCTCAGGAAAATGCCACAAATATTGGGAATATGCAGAACCTGGATGAAAGAAAACAGGAATACATCCAGCTAAAATCGAATCGAATGTTGATCTTCTGGTGTATGAATCTCCGACAGGTTGCAAGCAGAAGATAGAGCTCTGAAACTCTTTCATGGTGGTAACAGGATCATCACAATTAACCCCATCGGAACTGCAATCTATGAATTTACAGAGAGAAGAACCTCGACATTGTTCAATTACCATACCGCGAATGGAGTCTCTGAGTTCCGGCCGTGGAGCGCCGGCGAAGGTGAACAAATGACGGCGCCGTTTGGTCCTCATGAGACTCTTCCATTCAACAACTTCACTCAGTTTCAATGGATGAAAATAAGTCGGATACGGAATCGCAAAATCGTTCTTCCACGAACTTGCTTCAACAGAGAGCATCGTCATATTGTGAGACTCAGGCAAGAATCTGAGTTTACTTCCCCAATCAGAAACATCATCCGTTTTTCTTCTGAAATCCCAAGAAATTCTTCCGGCAATGAAGAAATGATCCCTCCCAAACATCCTCTTCCACTCAGGTTTTTCAGAAATCACACTCAAAAAATCTCTAGCTGAGGAATCCCTAACCGAGATGCTCGGATTCCAAAGATAATGGCTGATGTCAAGACCAGCGTAGAACGGTACATAAACGGCGGACGCCATAGCCGAATCGTTCGTCAAGCACTTGTACTGTTTCATCTTGTTGTGGAAAATGACCTCCAACAGAAATTGATTCGTCTTGAACCAACTATTATTGAAGAAAACCCCTTGAGAATCTTCAATTTCAGGCCCTAGGCCAGAGTTCACCAAATACGGACACATATCGGATTTGTCGGTTCCTCTGGTAAGAGATTGGCAATTTCTAATCAAATCAGAATTGAAACGACTCGGAATGTCCTGGATGAACAAGTAGCGACCAGAGCAAGGATCGGCGGTGTCAGATTCCAAGTCGACGCTCCGAGCAGCAGCAGAGGGTTTGACGAGTAGTCTATTAGGGTTTAAGGAGGAAGCGAGGACGCCATTGTTGGAGGAATGGAAAGGGGAGTAATCAAAACAGAGGAAAATCCATGTTATGGCGAAGGAAATGAAAATGGCGAACCAGAGCTCGGTGGAGCAAGTGTTTCTGAACAGTTTCTTCTCCATTTTTTGGGTATGGCTGTGGACGGAATCTGAAGACGCGTCTTGTTGGAGTCAAAGATACGGCATCTTCAACACAGAGGGCTTTCTAGGAGAGCATCATCAGCATGAAGGGTGTGAAGGAATAGCAGAAATTACAGTTTACGCCATTGATGAGCGAGCTATGGAGGATAAAAGAAAACGTCGGTTACAGTGTTGGAATGGAAAGGAAATTGAAGTGTAATAATTGGTGAGGCCATCTCGTTTAATTTTCCAACACATAATACGCTATGAATGCGTGATAGGTGTAATCATCTAAACACTTTTCTATGCGATGGTTACTTTTTTTTCTACACCCAATTAGACATAGACATGATTGACCATCAAGTGTTACCCATCTGACCACCTTACGATCGAGTTCGAGTCATGAGTCGGTACATGCAATGAGTGTTACCCATCTGACCCTTGATGCGATCGAGACAAGAAAGTGCCTTAACTCGGCCGGATATTTCTTATGTAGTCGGAGTCATGAGTCGTTACATGCAAAGTCCAAAGAAGTCTCATTTGGATGCGGCTCGATGAATCTTAAGATATGTTAAAGGTACAATCGACTATGGTCTTCTGTACACAAAGACTGCAAGCTACTTGGATACTGTGATGCTGACTATGTAGGAGACCACAATACTCGAAGATCAACCATTGGGTATGTGTTCAAGGTTGATTGACTAAAATTATGAGAAAAACACCTTAGTAAATTTATATTAAAATTCTACCATTTTTGTGAAGAAACTAAGTTAATTAGAGTTGCATAGAGAAAGTTATGAAAATTCAAAGAAAATTTTGACAAAGGAGTTGAACGTGTAGTTGACAGCACGTGAGAGGTATTTTTCGACCCGTCCAATCAAAGAGATTTGAAGAATTTTGAAGCTCCTAACATGAAAAAAAAGGTAGCTTGGGAAGGCACACGTCCTTCAAGTAAGTAACCACATGAACTTTAGGTAAGTAATACTTGTAGGGTTTGCTAAGATATGCTAGCATACGAGCATTCCTTACCATAAGTGGTTAGAAAATGCATGTTAAGGACTTTAGAATGACGTTTTTAGATGAGTATGTATTGTATGCATGGTATGGTAAAGTTATCTTTCTGCCCATTCGTGATGAATAATTTTTATATGCTTACCGCTGTGTTAGAAAGAAGGATGGGCTATTGTGATCTGTTCTCCGAGTGATTAATGAATGTTATCTCCCCATTACGATTGTTTTCTTGTGTGGGTACATGATACACTACGTGTTAGCTCCAGGTGCCGACTGTATGTTCTCCCTTTCGAGCGTGTTTATCTGCATATAGATAGAGCATTAGAGCTAGGTTGGTTAGACAATAACCTAGGTCCATGACGCCTCCAGTGGATTGAGCGACTTAGGATCGTGAGCGATGGTCAAAGGAGAAAGACCCGATGAGTCAAAATAGAGCAACGTGTAGCAAGAAGTCCACATTAAACCAGCTAGTCACCTTAGGAATCCAATAGAACTTCTCAACTCTTAGATATGACTAAGGTGAAGTTTAAATTATGGGATACGAGCTTAGTTGATCGATAGAAATATCTCCCTAGCAAAGCATGCATGAGAGAAATTAGTTAACAATAGTGCGCTACAACTAGTGCGATTTACTTGTTAATCCATGTTAGTATGTTTCCAGTAGACCTTGCACCCAGGATCATGAGCGATTAGAGGCTTAGACTCATGTGTACCTAGAGAGTGGTTTAGCTCAAGGAGCTAACCCCAAACATCTTGAAAATGAGAGATGAGATTTAAACCGGCTAACGTCACTAAGAACCTAGTAAATTACAACGACATCTAAATATGATTAAGGAAGCTTAACATAACTCTGAACCCACTTGAGTTGCTATTGAGTATAGGATCAGAACAAGACTGACGTCGCGATTCTGTTAAACTAGTCTTGGAGAAAGACTAGGGACTCCACGGGTAGTTAGCTCAAAGTAAGGACTCCTATTGAGTGTAGAAACGAGTCAAGGCTGATGCCTCAACTTTGTAAATCAATCTTAGAGAGATACTAAGGACTACAACGGTAGTTGTCAAGGCCAAAACTTCTACTATGTGTAGAATCGAGTCTAGGCCTTAAACCTACCTTGAGAAGAGACAAGTGACTATATGAGAAGCGATGTGAGGAATTACCACTATATGTAGAACGGGTTAAAACTCGTAAACCCACTATGAGAGGGAATGAGAGTCTACATGATTGGGTAACATGAAGAACTACTACTGTATGTAGACGTAAACTCGCCTTGAGAGGAGACAAGGGACTACGTAAGTAGGTACGATTTCACTTCTGTTTCTCATTCTTAACATGGTATCAGAGCATCATTCTTAACATAGTAACCAAAAGACGTTTGATGTTTTTGTTTTCGTTTTGGCGTTCACCCACAAACTCGAACGATGTACCTGTTCTAAGCCTCTTTACTTTTTTAATGTAATTTATTTTTAATAAACTAAGAACACGAATCAAAGGTCACTTATGTTTTTTTTGTCAGTTTCTAAGTATTAACTTCCATTGACGAAGTGGGAAGTGATTATTTGGAACCATTATAGAAACCCACCTTTTGAGGTTCGACAACGATTTAATTACTTGAAATTGTGAATCATATATGTCTTCACTTTTATCTACATTATAAATTTAGGTGTGCACACCGTCACTCCAGGAACTCAGTACAATTGGGAATTCAAGGAAAATTTCTTCCAAACGACGGAAAATGGTTTTCTGATCGATGCAATAATGAAAGATGTATTCGAGTTCTTGCACGCATGGGATCTGGGTAGTTACTAAATCCCATCACCCACTTTTGCTATAATTTACTTCCCATATCAAATAAAAAGTAATATTAATTGACGTTCGTTGAGATTTTTCGTACTAATTCTCCCATCGTGCTATTGCGTTATGTGTTCGTTGTATATTTGTGTATTCTAATACGCACCTAGCCTACGTTCTTCCAATTCATTAAGCTAAAGTTTTCTTTGTTGAGACCAAATCAAGATTCAACTTCTTTAATTTCCATTTCGTCTTAGATTCCAGCTTAAGGGGAGATGAAAGACTTTTTCGAGTACCTATATGTCCATGTACCAATGGGTGACTTGAACGCAGTCTGATATGACTATAGAGCTCTTGAGGACGGTTGGGAGAGAATCCCACATTGACTAATTTAGGGAATGATCATGGGTATATAAGTAAGGAATAACATCTCCATTGGTATGAGGCCTTTTAGGGAAATCAAAAGCAAAACTATGAGAGCTTTTGCTCAAAGTGGACGATGACATATTATTGTGGAGGGTCCGTGGTTCCCAACATGGTATCAGAGCAAAGTCATGATTTGTTGTGGGTGCACCAGTACGGTACCTTGTTACGACTTCACTCCAGTCACTAACCCTGCCTTCGGCATCCCCCTCCTTGCTGTTAAGGTAATGACTTCGAGCATGGCTAGCTCCCATAGTTAGAATGAAGATGGTGATATTGTGGTTGTGCTCCAAGTGATTGATGGATGTTATCTCCCCATTAAGAGAGCATTAGAGTCAAGCCAGCTAGATGATGATCTAGGACAAGACCCCTTCAGTAGACTGAGTACCTTAGGATCATGAGCGGCAATTAAGAGGTCTAGGCCCTAGTGCTCCAATACTAAGAAAGATTCGAGAAGTCAAAATAGAGTACCCTGGAGTCGAAAGTCTGTATTAAGCCACCTATCCGCCCTAGAAACCTACTATACCCCTTTAGTAGACCTGAGTTAGTATGTTTCTAGTAGATTGAAAACCCCAAGGTTCATGAACGACGATCAAAGGTCTTGACTACACCCAGAGATTTAAATTAGTCCCTAAGAGCAAGTCTTGAGTGTCCTGAAAATGAGAGATGACAATTAAACTCCTTAGATGCACTTAAGAACCTAGTAGACCTCTACGAGAAAGACGACTATAAAAGCTTTACATACCTAGTAATAATGTGACAATGTTACCAAAGTCTTCCTGTCTTATCCTCTCCTAATTGCCCTTAGCATTAGTAGCCTCGCCAAGCCATAGGAGTACAAGTACCATCAAGTTAGGCCTAGGCATGATAGTATAGTCCATCAAGATAACTAGGTACTCTTATCTGGTGGACCCATCCTGTGAGGTGGCATGGGACCATGCAAATAACATAGTAGTTGGCCAGCACATATATAACCCTATGGAAGGGTTACATATAACCTTTCATGGATGATGATCAGACTAGCTAGATGTCATACTATCGTAACAAATTTTATGTAGTAGGGATACCGATCATTATTGTTGTTGTTATGCAAATTTTACGTACTTTTGTTATCATAAGTCTACCAACAGTCAATTTTATATTTTATTACTCGTCTCTGTTTTTAAAATGTGATCTATTAAATGTTTTAAAACACTGAATATTCAACCACTTATTAGTTACAAATTTATTTGGACAACTCTAAATTACGTATTTTTTAAAATATATTTTATTTCCGATAAATTCCATGTGAAAATGGAGAAATTAGGTATAGAAAGCTATGCACCTTTTCAAATTGGGCATTTGAATATGGACACTCGTTGTAGTATCAATCACAGGTTTGGTTGGATCAGGAATTCATTGTCCACATTGTTTGACAATTAGAGATGGGCCACGTGCGTTTTCTTATAATCATAGGTTCATTATTGATCGTCTCAAAAAACATGTTTTATATTCGAAATCGGTTTAGTTCTTGAATTTTTAAATATATTTTACCTTCGAAAAGCTTAATTATTTTTTAATTTTGTGTATAATAAATTTATACATTTTTAATATTATGGCCTTTTAAGTTACTTTAGTGTCTACCCCATTTCATGCTGTACGACCGCAACAAACTTCATTGTCACAAGTTCTCTGTATCTATAGCGTTGGTATTGTAACATACCATGTCAATGCTACCTCATTTTTAGACCTAGACTCTAAAACACGTAGGGACGGATGTTTCTTAACTCATGGAATGAAGGTAAATTGTTGGTCTTAATGGGGAAGTTATTCTTCGTGCCTGTCTTAAATTCACTCATCATTTCGTTGTGTTATTTAAATAAAATTGGTTGATCAATACTACCTTATTCACTCGTATAATATAAAAATTGATATCGTGAAGAACTCGACGAATCGAAAATTAAGGTGAGGGTTAAAAAATTGATGGAATAAATTTAAAAGTAGAAATAATATTATCATTACGTGTCGGCACATGCAAAAAGGATAAGATATGGAAACAAAATATATTCTTTTTTTCCAGCGGTGAATTTGAGGTAACAATAAAAGTGAACGTTACAACGTGAGGAAGGGAAATAATCAGCTACGTAAGCAATTACGTGTTACATAAAGTCATTGCTGCCGTCAGCTGCTGACGTATCCAATTCTCAAAGCCACAATCGGTCCATGTATGGAAATGTGTTTTGTCGGGAAGTTTTTTTGTAAGTGACAAGAAAACAAAAGGATAATATCACCTTCACCTCTCTTCAATCTCTTCAAAAATTGTAACTAATAATATATTGGATCAGTGTCGTAGAGGAAGAACGGAAGAATTTATGTTTTTCATTCATAACATGATATCAAAGCAGTAGAGGAGGAACGAAAGAATTTATGTCTCTCATTCTTAACATAGTATCAGAGCATAGAGGAAGAACAAAGAAAAGTGATAGGGATCAGGACAAAGTGGATGAAGTGATATCAGATCTCAAAAGTTTTAATTTCGGGTCTCTATGGTGATTGTTATTGATTGATCAATATCTTTCCTCTCAACAATAAAATCAAGAACTTGATGTTTAGAGTAGCTCATGCGCCCTGTGAACATTAACGAGGATTAAACTTTCACTCCCATTTTTGTTTCTCATTCTTAAAACTAGACGGGATTTAAATCTAAACATAAATTATTGAAAGACATCTTAGAGAGATACTCTTTACGGTTGCCACCATTACACACAAAATCAAGAAACACGCTAACGTTGACGTTGGAAGAACCTCCCTTAGTGGTCGCAAGGTTGGCCAAGTCCTTCCATTTTAAAGCATTCCTTCTCAAGCTCTCCCCCTCAACTCCATCGCCCATGACAAGGTCCAAGCATTTCTTGATCTCTCCCCTCTCAACAATCCCATCATCATTCATTCTCAACCTCACTCCATTCTTAGACGACTCCTCAATAATCCTCGCATTGGTCGATTGATCCGTCCATTGCGGGAACGCCACCACCGACACACCACAAGCAACGCTCTCCAACGAAGAATTCCAACCACAATGCGTCAAAAAACACCCAATCGATGGATGCAACAAAACCTCAAGTTGCGAACACCATGTAACTATCTTCCCTTTAGCCGCCAGCTCTTCACGGCAGCTCACTAAATCTCCTTCATCACCATCGCTCGTTTTCCTCATCACCCATAAAAATGGCCGCTTTGAATCCAATAACCCTCTAGCAATCTCCTCCAATTGAGCCGTCGACACCGCCGCAATGCTCCCGAACGACACGTACACAACCGACGATTTGGGTTTGGAATTCAGCCACCCAATGTAGGGTTTCAAATCCATAGAATTGGTAGGGTGGAAGAAAGAAAGAGAAGGCAACACAGGCCCAATTGGGATCAAGTCAACACTAATCGCTCTCAACGCGTCGTGCTCCAAATCATCAAACGTGTTGATTAAAATTTTCAAATGGGGTTCTTGTTTGATGACATGGAAGTGAGTTTCGTAGAGTTTAAGGACAAAAGCGTTGGAGTTTGCCGGATTGCATAGAGAGGGAAGTTGTTTAGAGTTCAACAAAGGAAGGCCGGGTAAGTGAATTTGAATAGAAGGATGGGAGAAGGCGTTTCCAATAACGTCTTTATAGCCATTGAAGAAGTGATAATAAATTGCAAAAACGGCGGCGGATTGGTTCCAAAAGAGAGCGGAAGGGAGGTGAAATGAACAAGCCACATCGGCCATCCATGGAGTGAGCAAAGAGTAAACAACAAAAGAGAAGGGCTTTCCATTGGCTTTGGATTTGAGAATGGTTTGCCGGATGGCTATGGAGGCTTGGCGCTCGAATTGTGAGAGGAATGGAACGACGTCGTTACCGAGCTTAAAGCCGTCGTCCTGGCCGTCGGAGAAGAAGGAGAAGGAGAGGTTTGGGGAGGAGGGAAGTTTGGGGAGACGGTGGCGGACGGAGGAGGAGGTGGCGAAGGTTACATAAACGCCGCCGTGAGAGAGGATGTTGGCTAAGTGAAGGCCTGGATTGAAGTGGCCGTGGGTGGCTAATGCTACGAAGAGCACATGTGGGTGTGATTGTGCCATGTAATTGATAGAGCTCTTGGACTTGGTGGGTGTGAATGTTGATACGTTCTTCCCCTTTTTATAGCTACAAATTTCGAGCACAAGACAAGACAAGACAAGACAAAAGACAACATGGTTTCTTTTTTTAGCAATGTGGGGAAGGTAAATTGATTACCTTACACAACTTTCCTTTTTCTTTATTACTTAAATTACAATTGTATTACAAACTTTTAAACAAAATAATAATAAATTTTTCTACCCATGTTCGGATGTCTGATAATAAGACATTGGAGAATATAATATACGAGAATCGTATAATTGTATTTAATGTTATATGAAAATACTATCAACTACGAGTCGTTCCAATAATTTTATTATATTACTCTATTTATATAATTAATATTACATGTTATAGCGAAAAAAATTAAATTCATGGACTAAATTATTTTTTAATGAGATATCTTATAAATTTTATATAATTATGATAATTTTTGATAAAATAGTAAAAGAAATGATTCAGAAAAGAATTTATTTTAATTCATTATAGTTATTATTATTATTCATTATAAATTTAATTTGAAACAATTATTATTATTATTTTTAATTATGGTATATTAATAATGAAGGAGCTAATTTAATATATTCCAAAAATTAATTAATCAATATTGGAAAATAAGTCAACTAATATTAATTGATTAATTACACTTAAAATATTTTAAACTAATTAAATAATAATGTTAGTAAATAAGTAATTCATTTCTTTATTAAATTTTTTTATAAGAATTAATTAAATTATAAATTAATAAAAACTATAATTTAATATATTCCAGTGTATGCCCTGACGCCGGCAAATAGAGGAACATTTTTGGGAAAGAAAGAGAAAGGAAAAAGAAAAAGAAAAAAGAAAAGGAAAGGAAAATATATAATATATATTTATTGGGTCAGCAGTGATGTAGTTGCTGATGCACATGCGGTGATATCATAGTGACGTCATCATTGTAACAACCCTCAATCCCAGTCTCCCACCAATCCTACTCAAGCTAATCCGATAATGGCTCACTATAGGATAAACTAGGATAGACTAGAAATTGTATGAATTACAATTTATGATCTATAAGCTACGATGATATATGAGTTATGATGATGTATGAGTTGTATCGTATGATGTCGTATATTAGTATATGATGATGTATGAAGTATGATGCTTGAGTTACAGGTTTAGTCTTCTTCTCCGTGTGAATCTTTCGACTGATTCAAGAACCTTAAAACCAATGGAGTTTCAGTATTAGAGAATAACGACCTATTGGAGAAGTATATCAAGGATCTGACGAAGGAGTTGAGAATAGTGGAACAGTTAAAAGATCATGCTCATAAGCAACATGTGGCGCTTGACAAAACTTGTTGGATGACCCACTATCAAAATATATCGAAACAAATTAAAGAAAGAGTAACAACAACGTGAGGGGAGAGAACTTTTGAATAAAGGAACTTTAATTCTCGACACATGAAAACTATGTTAGGTGACCGAACCTACTTGAATGTTCATGTATGACGGTAGATTTAGTTACCATGTTCTCTATAATTTTTTGCATGATGGGGAGCCTTAGCCTTTTGTTTTACGTGTTTTATGAGAATATGTTCTAAAACCATTCCCGAATGGTGAGAGTTCTATATTTACAATCATTTAGATAATCAAATAAAATTAAATAGATTACAAAGGAAATGAAAAGAGAAATATATAGATGCACGATATTAGCGCAGGATCAATGAACAAATATGATAAATATGGTAAATTGTAATGGAAAGCCAAACATCCTCAATAATACAAGATATTAGCCTATATTCAATGGTCAAATAAGATATATATGGTAAACGAAAAGTTAAACATCCACAACACACCCTACAAGCTAAGTGTCAGATTTGAACGAATGCGAAACTTGGGTATAAAGAATTCAAAGAGATGCTGAAAAACACTTTTGGAGACGTCAACAACTTGAAGATGGGAGAGACAACAAGTACGTAAAGGAAATGATGATCTAATTTAACAGTTTTGGAACACTCGTTAGAAATGAGATTGAAGCTCAAAATAGCACTTTTGTTGTCACAGACCAACAAGAATAGTGTGAAATTGGGACCTTGAGGTCATGTGAAAGATGCATAAGCCAAATAAGTTCAATAGCAATCTTGGTAAGAGCAAGATACTCAGGTTCACAGCAGAGGTATGAGACAGTAGGTTGGTTCTTGGCACTCTAAGAAATGAGATTGTTACCAAGATACCAGTTTTAGATCGTATAATCATAGGATAGATTATTAATAGTTGAGATTGTTTCAAGTAATTTCAAGTATTCACAGTTTAATAGTGAGAATTCTATGTTGCGGTCGTAGAGACTTGACCAATGTGTGGCTGCAAGTTAGTGATGAGAATTCCATGTTTTAGCCATGGAGATTTGGACCCAAATCCGAGCCGCCACAATAATTTTGCTCTCATTTCAGCTTGAGTCGTACATGTTTTCATTTTCCATAATTATTTTGCCTTCTGCATTTTATTCACAAAGGTTTGTTCCACAAAACCAATGAATATATATTTCATTGACATTCATCGACGCACTTAGATCAAATTTTTGTTAGAGCGACATAAAATAAAAACCGATTATTAAACAATGAAAACTCTTTACTATCTGCAAGCTATATGCATCTTTCATCACCGCATCGGTCATAAGGCCATCTTCCCTTTTCTGGCCAGAAAACCTCGAATGAAGCATGTCCTAATATGCTCTCAAAATTGCACCAAAACAATGTCGTTCAAAAAAAATTGTCCTTAAAATCCCAATTGATTTGGGTTCCTAAATGAATGATATGCACCCCTAAATCCATTATTGATCCGAAATTTTAGGTTAGATAAATATATACATATAAATTTTAAGGTATTACAAAAATAAAAACATAATAAATATTATTTAAAAATCTCATTTTTTGTTTTTTAGATTTTAAAAACTTGAATTAAAACATGAATTCCACGGTCGAGTTGTAATTTAGAGTGTATATATATATTGCAGCTAACTTAAATCGATGTGTTTGAACTTACAACAAGCCTAAAGAGATAGATTTATAGGACTGTTCCAAATCCCCACTTCCCACTATATCAATGGAAGTTGATATTTGGATGCTGTAAAACACATGAGATATTAATATATATTAATGACGGAGAAAGCAAAAAAGAAATGATAGCATTACAAAACGAGCCTTATATTTTCAATTCTTTATTGATCCAATTCAAACTTGGTTGGATATGTTTCAAACTAAAAATCCAAAAGTTATTAAAATTCTATTAGTTTTTTTATTTATGATGTGAATTTTGACTCGGGTTTTTAATTCAATAAAAATAAATTATGTTAAAAAAGTAAATAGACTTGCTACAATTACATCCTTTGAATTTATAGGCTAACGCCAAAACGAAAACACAAACAACAAAAGACTCGAGAGTTTTTATGATCTTCTTCAATAGTATTGTTGCTTATTTTCAAGTATATTTCGAAAGATTTATAGCGTCCTCTCCTCTTAAAAATGAAACATTGGAGTTTTTCATGAAATTTAAAGACACTGTGACTCAAAAGTTAGCGTTAAAATTTATAACAGCCATTTTGGAGTACTCTTTATTAACTCCAATTTGGCAAACTTTGCATCAAAGGGTCGGATGGAAACTCAAACCTTATCAATCTTACGTGCATATGTTTTTTTTTTTTTTTTCATATCTTTTTAGAACGGCGCACCAACTCACATTTAGATAAATACAAAAAAAATAGTGACGAGTAAGAAAAATCGGAAGGAAAGAGGAGTGGAATGATATGAAAAACTTGATTATTCCAATTCAAATATTAGGAGTTGAAAGGAAAGAGGAGACGATATTAACGAAACGATTATCTGCTTAAGAATTCAAAATACCCCTTCTTTTCCAAGTTATGTCTTCAATGAGCTACTCGAAAGTCGGATGCAAAATAAGGGTTGAAAACTCTAGTGATATAAAAAATCTTCGCTTGTCTTAAATTAGGTCTGAGTTTGTTTAAGTTAATTTGATTCAAATACATTGAACGTCATGAGTTAAGTTAGTACCCGAGTTTTATCAAGTAAAATCAAACCGCTTTTATACCCAAGTTCTAAAGTCATTTCATGGCACACCAGTAAAAAGAAGATAACATTTTTAGTCATGCATATCGAGCAAATTGGCTAGTACAATATTAAGTTCATTACAAGGGCTTCACTTTGTTTTGATTTGATATCGTTACCGATCTTAAATATGGGTACCCAACCTTGTCGTGGCCATGATGTAGAGCCCAATAACTATTCATCTGGTAAGTTGTCTCATAGAAAACTCGGTGTTTATCATGAGATCATCAAAGTAGTATTCATTTCTCTTTTAATATGTCCTAGAGAAGCTAATAAATGAATCTTTTCAAAAACTCTACACTTCAAGAGTAAAAAATTCTACCGATTATATCGTTCGTTTAAACGTTCGTTGTCTCATTACACGGTCAAAGAAGAAAAAGAATCAAGGAATGTAACTATTTTCAAGAGTTGGTTGTGTTCTTACCATTGAAGCAGAAGGCAGTCTACTTTTTCCGATCCAAACAGTATCAAAACACTCTCCTCTGTCAGACACCTTCTCCATATCCTTAATGTTCTTCCTCCTCACTAACCTCAAAACCGCCATTAAAACTAAACCCACCAAAGCTAACCCAACCAGAACACATCCAAACCCAACCACCCACCATTCCCACACCTTCTTCTTCTTCTTCTTCTCCATTGAAGAATTTGGAACAACAAGAGAAAAATGGCCATAATCAGTGACAGAACACAACCTTGGCTTTGTCATGTTCTTCAATTCAAAACCCCCACCATCTCCAAATTTCACACATTGTAGATTCTTCTTCACATCCATTTCTCCCAATTTCACTTCAGGAAACCTCATCAAAATGGGTTTTCTTCCCATGAAGAACAAATTCAGTTTTCGATTGGTTAATGTGCTGGAATTTGAAGTGGAATCATAAAAAGTGAAGCCAAGAACAGGGGCAACAAGAGTATAGCCAGGAACTTGATACAAACTTGAAGACCAATTCCCCAAATTCTCAAAAACTATGGCTATTCTCTTTACAAAAGGGATTGGAGTGATTCTTGGCGGAATGGATATCCAACTCAAATTTTCTCCACTAACCCAGAAACTAATACTCATCAATCTAACATAAGAAACCTCAATCCCGGAAAATTTTGATGGCAGAGTGATGTTATAGACAACCCCTGTTCTAGGTTTTGACAGAGAATTATTCGTATATTTATGAACAAACCCACCAAGAGAATCGGCATCTTTAAACGAAACAGAGCATGAAATCAACATCAATAAACAAAAGAACACCACCCAGATGATAGAATCGTACCATCTCCTTCCCATGAATCAAATGAGTGTTTTCTTGAGCAGCAAGCCAGAATTTCTGATCAAGGGCAACAAAAAAAACGATGGGGTTATTGTTAAAAACCAAATGGTTAAGTTAGAGAAGAAAGAATCACCAGCATGGAGAATGCGGGCGTTCGTGAGCCGCCGTGGACGGAGGTGAGTGATGAAGTGGAGTGGGCGGCGAAGGGGGGAAGAACGATCGGAAGAGTGATGGTGTCAAGAAAAGGCATTAATGGGAGTTGAGAAGGTTTGCTTGTTTTTAATTGAATTTTGATTCCTTGTAAGTTGGGGTTTGTTGAGGTGAAAGAGAGAGAGAGAAGGCATTTGATAGGCTGTGGCAATGTGCTTTAGCTCGAAAGGCGTTCACTTAATAACGTGGCTCACGATTCTATATTAATGGATATCTAAAAACGTACTCACTTGCACTTGGTTTATTCTTATTCGATTGATGTCGTGATTGGCTTGAACCAATTTGAGTATCAATAGTTCACGTCCACCTATCTCGTACGATATTAGCAATATATCGATGACCTATTTCTAACTCTAATATATTGAGGATCTGCATCGCCTTCATAAAAAGGTCTCGAATCATGTCATGTCAATGGTTGCTTGGTTATTGTCATTATAAGCAAATTTCAAGAGATATAATATGGAAACCCGACTACCTATTTGATAGATAACATTTCCTGGCATAAAGTATGCAAACTTGGTGAGTTTGTCAATAATCACCGTATCATTGTTTATTCCTTCCGAGTTTTTGCAATACCTACATTGAAGTTCATTGTTATATTTTCCTATTTTTATCCTTGAACGCTAAGAAGTTGTAATTACTTCGTCGTCCTTTATCTTGGTGCCCTCACTTATAAACAAACAAAACATTTACTTACGAGCTCGGTTATATTTTTCTTCTTGCTGCTCTATCAAAAATGTTGTCTCAAGTCGTGTTATATCTTAGTATAACTTGGATGTATAGAAAAATTGTGAAGTATGAACTTCTGTCAGCATCTCGTTTCTCAATTCATCCCTTACAAATAACGCACATAAATATGCTTAATAGGGTTGTCATAAACCAACAACTATTTGTCACATAGCATTAACTTGTTGGCCTATCATTCACAAACATCTTACAATATTTATGAATTACTCGTGAATGATCAACTTGCTTTGAACTTTGTTGCTCTTTGTAAGCTATGCCCTATGTTTACTCATTCTATTTAAGCTCAACTTAGGGTAGTTTAGCGGAAGCTAGTTCAAGTTCTGAGTTCTTGGTTCTATCTAGGCCTCCAACTCTCGAAATTTCTTTTGGATTCTCTAGATCTCTTGACTTGTCGTTTCTGCTAATTTCTCTCATCAACATCATAGCTCTAGATCTATATCAAGGCCCTTGAGGCACGACCCCGACATAAGTTCACATAAGGTTTATGCATTCTAAAGTTCAATCGACTCTCAAGGTACTACTATAGACCCTTACCGCTCATGACAGGTTCACTAAGAGAAAATTAACTAGCGAACTCTCTAATAATTCTCATTGAGTATAATCAAATCATAATCCAGTTATATAATTATCTAGATCCCTAACAATCGAGTTAATTTTACAATTAGGAGCTAGGTTGTGAAACCTTAATCGTTCTTGTATAATCACATAAAATCACATGCATGAACATTATAGGTCTCAAGTGCAACCAACTTTAAGACACAATTGTGGACTCCTCTTGATCATGACAGGATCAAAGGAAGCTAACTAGCAAATTTCTTAATATTCCCACGGAGTAAAGTCATAAATCATAAACTAGTTCTATAGTTATCCGGACCCTTGATAATGGAGCCGGATTTACGAATAGCGACTAGTCGGAAAACTCCTAATCGTCCTCGTATAACCGCATAAACGTCACATACATGAACAAACCCTAATCGGACTCGGGTTTAGATCCTTAAAAAACTCCAAAATTTGTCCGACTCCTAAAAAAGTAATCATTTTAGTAATATATATATATATATATATGGTATTTTGTTAATATTTAAATGGTGACATTAACAAAGAATGCAATTAAATCTCCGCGTGTCTAACAACCAAATATAATTAAACCTAAATTTTATGAACATTAAATCTGTGTCTTGAATTGCTGAACACATGAAAAAGGAAGAGCTAAGAAAGAAGTTAGAATTGAGCATAACAATTGGAACCTATTCAACTACAATGTCTTCTTTTCCTGCCATTGAGAAAATAGCTAAAAGGACTGACTACTACTATTACTACACAGAGAGTGTCAGCATGAAAAGAAGTCCTTCAATCTTTTGAGCTTTGACATAGAAATTATGGGAAGCAACACAAAAAAGAAAAGCTATGGCTTGATCGTCAGCTCTGCCCTTAGATGAAGGATCCCATTTATGAAGTAAATACTATCTTCAGCCGTGAACGAAGTCCATGGTATACCAAACAAGTTTCTGTACCCAACTGCTTTCCCACCTGTAAACGTGTAGTTCCCCTTGTATTTACTCAGAAACTCTTCGCTCGGCTTCGATCTTGCTGAAAATTCGTAATCCACAGCAAAAGACACAGACCCTTTCTCCTGCATCCCCAGAAACAATCCAAAGCAATGGAATGAACTCTGCTGGTCCATGTTGCAATGAGCAGACAAGAAGAATCCTTGCCCTCCCAAGTGAAATGCTTGAGAGTATATTCGTCCAGATGGGAATAAACTTGTACATTCTTCTCGTTTCAAGTCCAGGTATACCACACACTGTTGTCGAGGGAGCTCCAGTTCAATGATCTTAACTGGCCTATACTTGTACGTCCTCTCGACAAAGCGACGGTTCGAGGAAGTAGACTCATCGCTAATCAAGGCTCTCTGCCTGTGAGGAACATCTGCCTTGAAAAACAGTGCCTCGAGCACAAGTTTCGAAGCAGCCTCATGATCAAAGTCATTACATGTCAATACCTTCTTCAGCTTCCGGCAGGACATGTAGGGGAAGCGAATGAATTTAGCAAGACGAGTACCAAGGACTTCTCGTCGTTCCTCTAACGAAGAATAGTGCGACCTTGCCCACTTTAAAACAAAGTCAAATACTGCATCCTCTGATGCTACTTGAAGATCATTACTGGATAATATTGCCTCTATTCCAGAAAGGGGAAACAGCAATATCTCTTCTTGGAACCTGACATACACACATTACATTATCGTCATTATAGCATTTAAGATAGCAGGATCCCTTGACTAAACAGTTTAGGAAACATGGCTTGGAATATTTATCGCAGCAAATCGTCAATGTGACGAACTATTGATGGCAATACATGTCATGCATGTCTTGTTCTTATTTTATTAGCTAGCTATTGCTAGCAAGAGCAGAGCAACAAAGGACCAATGCCATTGTGGTACTTCTTTGGAAGGTGTGACTCGAGGGGAACCAAAGATTATTCAAAGAGAAGATGACCAGCAGTGCTGGCCTATGGGATTCTACTAATAAGCTCTTTCCCACCATCTGGTGTTCTATTTCTAATATTAAATTCTTTTAGTAATTACGATCTCGTACATATTTTGCCTAATTGGGAGTATTTTTTGAAACCCTCAGGGGATATCTCAGATCCCCTTTTGTTTGATCCTTCTTTCTTTAAATTATTATTTGTTTCTTGGGAAAAAAATCTATAGCAGAATCAACAGGATGAACGTTGAAGTGGTAAGTTTCTTGTTTTCTTCAATCTAGATTAACATAATATAGATTATAGAACACAAAAGACCAAGAAAAAGAAAATTAGAAATAAAATTTTGATCTTCATGTGAGATGTGAACTTACTTAGTTATGTCTTTATAACGAGCCGCAAGGTACTGTTTTGCTGTATCAGTCAGTGATTGAACGGCTTCAGCCATTAGAACACTGGAAGGAAGCTCCAAAAAGAGCAGTGCAGACTCCGGTGTCATACTCAAAGTTCGCAATTGTCTACTGCAATACCTCATGCATGAAGAAACCTCATATTTATCAGCAGCCATTAGCACATCCAATAACGCAGGAGCGGTGGTAACAGACAGGCTATTGCTGTACATAAAGTTCAACAACTCCATGAGAGCAGCTTCCTCTGTTCCAAGTAAAAGGACATAATATAGCAAGTCAGTTCTCTCTATAACACAGCCAGAAACAATCATTCAACAGTTTTCATTTGGAAAGAAATTTCATATGCTATTTCTTACCAGAGGCATTGATCCGTAAGGTCACACGTCGTTCATCTGATTCTTTCATGCCATTTGAGAACAGCTACAAGTTTACAAGATAGCGTGAGAAAATGAACATTCTTGGGATTGTTGGGGGTGATAGTTATGGAACAATATCAATAAAGACTATTGACCTTTACCTTATAGAAGAATGGGCTTTTGGCCGCCAAAATAGGAGAGCTAATATGCAAAGTCTTCACCCTCACCACACTAGAAGAATCCAAATTTAAATCATTGCAACTTGCAGCTTCATCACCTACAACAATATTTTCATGAATCAAACACAACGTTCGAAATTCAGATAAAAACCTGACCATATGAACTTTTTATTTGTCCACAGATCTTTCTGATTGGACTTCTCCGTCATTACCTGATAGTGATTCTTCAACCATTGCCACAGGTCCCTCATCTGGATTTTCGGACAAGATATCTACCATATCGGGCTCTTCACAGGTTACAACTTGCTGCTCTGGGCATTTACTGAGATCCAGAGCTGAATAAAACAAGAAAAAGGAATTAATTTTTCCGGTGAACTTTTCCGTGCAAGAAGCTGTCAAAAGAAAAGTTACACCATCAACAATCAAGAACCCACCGAAATAAATATTGGAACAAAATGAAAATTCTGCAAACTGAAAACATAATTGATCTCTCGAGGTTCCACTATTTTATACAGACACAATGACATTGCATAAAAATTTCACATTTTCCATCAGCAACTGTAATCTAAGTAACCCATTACCACCGTTTTTATCTATTCTTTCAGGAAAGATCGACCATTGGAACCATTTAATATCAACATATTAATATTAGAAACTCTGCATGAAAGGTTGTAAGGTATGAGCAATTTGCTATTTATGGCAGCTGGAAAAAAACCAAAATAAGCGTTCTTTGCACAAGAATATAAAATAAATAAAAGGATCTTACTAAAATCTGGAACTCGACGTACAGAAGATTCTGATTCAGAGTTCAGAACGTAGACTTTAAATTTGTACATTTCCCCTTTCGTTCTCAGCTTAAAGTGCCTCGAGAGGAAACTCATGTAACCGATTCTGAATTCTAAAACTAACTTTCTACGAATTCATAGCCCAGAGATAAGAAAAACATCCATAAACCCAGATGGATATGAGTTAACATGCTCTAGTGATTCAGAAGAAACGGCGCTAAAACAACAATTAGTTTTAGACAAGAAAAAAAAACCCCGAATTCTGTAAGGTTCCTCATAAACCAGAGTCGGTGATGGAGCTAGCTACATTAATCCAACGGAAATTTGAAATTATCTAAATATAGACAAAAGTTATACTCGAAACCCCGAAAAGAGAAACAAAAATAGTTGAGTATGACTCACCATTTTCCGTTTTCTTTTCTTCTTTCCTCCTCTTTCGGCGAGCCCAATCGACGACACTGCTGCACCCACCAAAATCCGGCTCCGTTTCATCGGACACGCCGACGATCTCAATCCTCAGTATGCGATCGGAGAAGTTACTGTCGTCAAAAGCGAATCCAAAATCAGAATCCCGAGACGAAGTGGAAGCACCGAGCACATAATCGGAGCCAATCGCCGCTCTAGGGTCGAACAAATCAGTGTTGGAATCTTTCATCTTTGGTCCAAACAAACAAAACAATCACTCAACACGAACCCAGATGCAATTGAAGACGACCTTGATCTCGAAAGCCCTAAAATCTCAGCAGAAGCGGGTAGAAAGGGTAAGAACAATATGGAAGAAGAAGAAGCAGAAGAAGAAGAAGAAGAAGAAGAAACAATCAGAAATTGAGGTGGAAGAGTTAAGAATTTATACATTGGAAGAGAGAGATTCGTAGGAAGAAGCCAAATCATTTCGCCGTGTGAGAGAGGTTGGGTTGAAAACCAAAACCCTCGTTTCCATATCCGTCCTGCTTCCGTTCGTTTGTTAATTTTATCACCCCGCCGCTCATGACTGACTTTACCAGAAATGAATGATACCTAATAAAACTATTTCCATTTTTTTTTTTTTTTTATTATTATTATTACTTTTAATTTCCATTCAATTATTTGGTCAAAAATTTCTATTATTTAAATTTTTAAAATTAAACCATTACCCAAAAATAGTCGATAGGAAGTGGCTGAAATTTATATATACTTGGATTTATAAATTTTTAATACTAATTTTTATATGATTTAAATATTAAATCACTTGTTTTATATTAATTTTAAATGGAAAGAAAAATCAATATTTTATAAAAGGTTTTAAAATAATAAGAAAAATTGGGATTTATTTGGAGTACCCAAAGAAAGACCAAGTCAAATGTTGATTTCTCCGAAGGAGAAAATGTCCATTTTAGCGGTCTCCTTGAGGTGGATGTTTGGATTGGGTCATCTCCTACCTCCTACAAATTGACAACCCAAACATCCACCTCAACAAGACTGTCTCTGCCACTCCTCGTAATGATTCATTAAACCTGTTAGACGAACACGACTCTCCACAATGGTATGATATTGTCCACTTTGAGCATAAAAACCCATGACCATTCCCTAAATTAACCGATGTAGGACTTTCATCATCCAACACCTCCCCTTAATCGAGGCTCGACTCCTTTGGAGTCTTAGTCATTTTTTACTGCCTTCGTACCTTCGAGGAGGCTTGACTCCTTTTGGAGTCCTTTGTTCGATATTTAAGGATTTGTCAATCTATTGACACGGCTAAGTTTAGGGCATGGCTCTAATACCATGTTAGACGAACACGACTGTCCACAATGGTATGATATTGTCCACTTTGAGCATAAGCTCTCATGGTTTTGCTTTGGGCTTCCCAAAAGGCCTCATACCAATGGAGAGTGTATTCTTAGATTATAAACCCATGATCATTCCCTAAATTAACCGATGTGGGACTTTCATCATCCAACAAAACCTACCATTTTGTGGACTTGACCAAATAAGGAGTTGGGAACGCAATTTCATGAGATGAATTTCACTCTATCACCGTAAGTACAAATTGGACCATGGGCCTCACCCTCTAATTAGTTTGAGCGGACTTAGTTTATGCTTTGATCATAAACAAATTGTTCATTAGATTATCAATGATACTTTAGGTATAAGATATAATTACTAGGGTCAAACGCACTTTTGACCCAACAGTAATTAATTACTAACAACGTGAAAGGCCCGCTTGTTTATAATGGTTATATTCATAAACCTAACTTAGATCTATAGTAAAGTGACCTATAATTAATGAATAAAATTTGATGTAGGACCCATTAAGATTTGGAAACTCAAGTAAAATTTAAATGGATTAGCTTAGTATCATGGTTATGTTTGTCTCTTTTCTATTGCCACAATACTTAGCACAACATAAGACACAGTTCTCTTATTTAACGCGGTATTTGTTGCGTTTGTTTTCTGACCATTTTTTTACCCAAAAATATTTAAATTTGTAATCAAATTTTAAAAAATAGAACTATTTTTTTTAGTTTCCAAAATTTTATCTTGGATTTTGAAAATATTGAATAATAAAAAAAACAAAGATTATTTTTGTTAATTGGTATTAGTTATTTCAATAAATAATTTAGGATAATTTTAATTAGATTTAAAATTAAAATTAAAAGAATTAAAAAATAAAATTTGAGTCTAGAAAACTCCGTACTCGCGAACGAGAACCTTCAACGTACCAAAATTTCGACACGTCATCATACACGTGGGATTTCAGACTCCAGATATTTCCGGCCGGAAACACCAGAACAATCTCGAAGACACCGGAGACGTTCTTCCAATTCGACGTATAAAATGGCGCAGATTTTTACAAAATCATCAAATCTATTATCGCCGAGTAGCTTGGATCGATCTAAAAGCGACAAAAAGAACTTGAATCTCCGTTTTCTGGGTTGGTGGACCGTTTTTGCGCCGATATCTATTAAGTCATCTGGATTGTGTCGGAACCGATTGGTTGGATTTTGTTCTTTTTTGTTCGAGAAATCGCATCCTAGGTGAGTTTTCATGATATCTTCTTCATATTCTCTTGCCTTTCTGAATTTTAATTGAATGTTCTTAGTGGTCTGAATGGTAAATGTAGAATGTGGAACTTGAATCGGGGCTTTGAGTGATCCGAATACTAACTAGGATTCGATATCTTATGAAGCCTTATTCTGCAATTTGAGATGGTATTATGATTCTGTTTATGTATGATTCTTCGGTGTTATGTTCTCTCATTATTTTCTTGGGAAGAATTCTTACCCATAATGTGTGGATTTTACCTGTAAACAGCTTATTTTATCCTTTTGAACTCTGAGGTTGAATAGTGCTGCAATTTAAGTACGACCTTTTAATCTTTTTGTGGAGGATATATTTCTTTGAACTTTGTTCAAGTTGGTTTAGCTTAGTTATCATTTTTCATATATTTGTAACTATGATTCGACTGTTGGATTTAGCCATTTTAGAATTTATTACTTGATTCTGTGGCTAGGTTTGAGTTTTCTTATGATTGGTTTTGGTCATTTTTGTGACATAAATTGGTATTTCATTAGTTGAATTTTGTATCGTGTCTTGAGGAGTATTATATTGCAAGTTTGTAGTACCCATCCTAGTTTGGTATTTCAATTGATAAAATTGAAAATGGGACGAAATTATCTAAAAGGTTACTCTTCCCTGTTCTGTTCTTATGACAGTAATGGCAATATAATCGAAGAGACGATCTTCTGCATCGTATAGATGATGTTTGTTGCGTAATATCTCTGTTGCCTGCGCATTCACTGTCTGTCTCTTACAATGTGATTTGATGATACTCTCAACAGGAATTACAAAGATCCCAAGAATTGTCTGAGCCAAACAAGCTCACCGCTTTTCCTTTAAGCCTATTGCATCTTTTTGTGGGCTTCAGATCAGCTAGAGGAAATGATTCCCATGTTCAGGTACATGGACTCACAGCCGTTCCAGAAGAATCGAATGCCTGTCAATCCATATCAGTATCCGAATATGGGAAGTGTCCCATCTTACACGATGATGGATCCAGCTAAATCATGTATGCCTCCTCATGATTCTGGGCATAACTATTGCCATTATGGCTACCCAATGCCACCTTCCTGCTGTAATGATGGTAATTTTTTCCCTGGTTACTATAATTTCAGACCACCGTACCTTCCTGTTCCACCCCATCAGGATATGCATTGCTATGGCAGTTACCCACCGTGCCCGGAACCGTATTACGTCCAATATGTTCCTCCCATGCATTATAATGTAGAGCAGCCTAGGTATGAGTTTGACAAGAACGTGATGAGGAATCATCACTGTTGTGGCTGTCCTAATAGCTTGTGTGGGCAGAAGCAGGAGGAAGATAGATGTGTGAAGATTGAGGAGGAGAAACCGGACAATCAAAGAAAGGGGTCGATGGTTCCATTTCAATTAGGAAATAACCAATCCCCATTTGTGTGGATTCCACCTGACTATGTGGGGAGTGAAAAAGGGAAAGAACCTTCTGAAACTGGAGCCATGAAGCAGGAGAAGGAACGCCATGGTCTGAATTCGACGAAGAATTTGGATCCAAAGTTCTGGCATGGCTGGCCTTTGTCTGATTTGAGTCGCCTAGGGTCATGGTTTCCTGATGCAGTAGGCATGGGGACTCGAAGTGTGCAAAATAATCAACCGGAGGATGGAAAAAAAGAGTTCCCATTTCCTCTTATTTGGATGCCTACTTTTGGTAGAGAGGAGAGGGCTGGAAAGGACGTCCAAAATAAGGATGCTCCTACAAAATACACTGAAGAGCCTTCTAATGTTGGGAAGTTGGTACCAACGAATATCTTGCAGAAAAATGATGCAACAAGTGAAGGTCCTGAAGTTGTGAAGACCATAAATCAGAGCAATATTCCGGAAACGGATGTGAAGCATAAGATTGATGACACCAACAAAAAGAAAGAAAGGAGATGCATTGCGGTGGAGACTGCTAAAGAAAACGAGGTAAGGGAGTCATCTAAAGATAATGTTAAAGGACAGAAAGCAACCTCGCCAAAGAAATCAAGATTGCCTCCTGTTTGTCTCAGAGTGGATCCTCTTCCGAAGAAGAAGAATGGCAATGGCAGTTCGAGGTTGCAGAGTCCTTCCAAACTGTCCGATGTTAAGGAAAACACTCAATTAGATTCAAAGATCAATAGCGCTATAGCAGAGTCAAACAGCGAGAAGATCATTAAGGAAGTTGAGGTTACCCATGACAGCCGTGATGGTAATCATGGAAATAAAGAAAATATCTCTAGAAATGGAGAGCCATTAAGCTCGACAACGCAGTCTCAAGGGAAGGTTCTTGACAAGCTCTGCAAGGAAGGGACAGAAGAACAGGGGGAGAAGGACAGAACAATAGACCAAGCACCTACTGAAAAGAATGTGGATGAAGGGTCGGAGGTAAGTTCAGGGGACATAGTTCAGGAAGAAGGGAAAAATGAGAAGCCTAACTTATCGGATGATGAAGCTGCCGTGCTCATTCAGGCAGCCTACCGTGGTTATGAAGTTAGGAAAGGGGAGCTTCTGAAAAAGATGAGGCAACTTGCTGAAGTTCGTCAACAGGTCATGGAGGTTCAAAATCGTGTGAATGCTTTGGAATTGGCTCCTCCTCAAGATGAGAGAGAAAGAGTGTTTGTTGGAGAAATGATAATGGGACTGTTGCTACAACTTGACACCATACAGGTATTTGTCTTCTGCTCGACCCTTTCCTTTTCTACTTTTGTCCCTTTTTGAAAAGAAAAAAGAGTACAAGTAGGATCTGGAACTCTTACTACTTCAAAATTTATAAAATGTTGATTTGAAGGCTATCCTAAGTTGTTTTCTTAAATTTTGCATTGAAAAGGGTCTGTATCCAAGTGTAAGGGAGTTCCGGAAGTCTTTGGCGAAAGAACTTGTAGCGCTTCAGGAGAAACTTGACTGCATGGTGATTAACAAGCCTACAGAAGTAGTACAGGAAGCCGCCGTGGAAAAACATGCTGAACATTTTGATACAGAAACTTATCATGAAATAAAAGAGGAAGAGCAACACAAAGAACATCAGAAGCCAACTGGGGATGGAAATAGCGAGTTGCCGGAAGTAAACGATGAGAACATGAAGGAACACGAAGCAGAGCAACTTGTAGAAGTAAAAGAATCTGAAGTTCAAAATGAAGATATTTCTGAATTGTCATCTCATGACTTATCCAAGCATTTTGAGGGTGAAGAGGCTGAATCAAAGGTTGAGATGGAACAGAACGTGGAGTTGTTGACTGATGCTGAGCAAAAAGTAGGGGAAGTTCTTCAAGCGGACAGGCAAAAAGAAGCTGTAAACCATCAAACATATTCTTTTGGAGATACTCGTCCTGCAGAAGATTCTTTGCAGGTTGATGCTTCGATGTCTGTCTGTGATGATCAAGTGGGAGCACAAACAGGACTAACACCTCAAGTTCTTGACAAGATTAATATTTCTGCAGCTGCTGAAAATGGACAAACTGAAGATCAGTTGGCTGCAGATGTGGAACTTCCAATGAGAGAGGACACCAATCCAAATAATTTCGAAGCTGCCAAGCTTGAGCAACTTGAGATAAGGGGAGAGGTGTCAGAGACTGAAGAGAATGCACGTGATTTGGAAGTTGAACTAAGTAGTGATGGAACTTCTAATGTGAAGCATCCTGAGGGTGAGGAGGACTGTCATGTCTCATGTGTCGGCTCTGAGCAGAATAGGGAGTATTTGGGTTATACAGAACACGAAAATGAAAACGAAGGAGCATCTGATGAATCTGCAGAATTGCCAGGGGAAGAATTGAACTCCAACGACGACGACCCGAACATCCAAAACAAGTTGGTAACCGAGGGAAACAAACAACAGACAATGGATGAGCTTGTGCCATCCAGCCAGTTAAAAGACCCGGCTAGACGAGCATGTGATGAATCTGCAGATTTGCCAGAGGAACTATCAAAATCCTACCACAATCAGAACGTCCAAAACGAAATAGTAAACGAGGAAAATGAACAACGAACTGCTGATGAGGAAACTAAAATGGCGGAAGACATGCTGCACGAGCCACTTGTAATTGATCCTGTGCTATCCAGCAAGTTAGACAATGAGCCTAACGAGATACATGCTGCTGATGAAGCAACTCTCGATGGCCCTTCTATTCAGATGGGTGAAGGGTCACTGCCTTCTTCGGCAGACCCGAATAAGCTTGATTTGGGTACTGAAAAGGAGATGGATAAGAAACTAGTGGAAGAAAATGAGAAAATGAGAGAGATGGTGGAGAAGTTGATGGAGGCTGGCAAAGAACAGATGGCCATCATATCAAAACTGAGCGGAAGAGTGAAGGACTTGGAAAAAAGGCTGGCAAGGAAGAAGACACAAAGGCGAGGATGTGGCTTATCTATGCCAAGACAGCATATGTTGAATGGTCGGATTAAGGCTTGAAGGGATCTGCGATCTGCATTATGCATGTTTGTGATGGAATCCTTTTTGTAATATATTTCATCTCGTTGTATATTTGTTTCTCATAAAAATAAAATGCATCTATGTTGCCCATGATCATGATCGTTCTTAATAGTAGTCTATTGGGAACTCGTTTGGGATGGGCTGGGTTATTTTTTCTATGGACTCTTAACACAAATAGAAATATATAATACATGTGGGTGAACATACAATAGCACCAATCAAGAAGGATGTTTTACATAATAACAAGACCATTTGAACAAAGGATAAAATAAAAGAAAAAAGAACATGAAGACATCCTTCCAGAAAAAATTAGAGGAAAAAAAAAATACATGAAGATGTTAAAAATGAAATGAATTTAAGACTAGGCTCTACTTAAGTTAACTAGTTTTCAAAATAGTTTCTGTACTAATTGTTGTGGTTGAATTTTCCATCTCTGGTGGAGGCTTTACATACTTCCCTATCACCTTTTGGTGTCTTCTGTGTCTCATTCTGTCTAGTTTAGCTTTGCTCTTTTTCTTTCTGTTCTCTTTCTGCCGATCTCGTAAATTCTTCTCTCTCTCGTACATACCTTGCCAGAAAACCTCACCTGTCGATGGCCATAACCACCGTCTTGTGGGGTGGTCGGTATCTGCTTCCTCTCCCAAGTCTTCATCCATGTTCTTTAGCATGTCGTATGAAAACCATTTGATCCACATTTGACCTCTTCGTATATCGAACTTGTGTTGTTCTTGCATTGCACCAGTCTCAGGGTTAACATACACTATACGCCTTGCACTGTGGTACGCCCAAACGTTTACGAGGAGTTCTAGCAGCCTGGAGTAGCAGTGCTTGTCCTGTGAAAAAGTACACAACTCTAGCATTTACAACAAAACAATACAAATGCACAAACCGAGGGCGAGCTCGATGTTCACATGTGAAAAACTAAAAGAAGAGGGAATTTACTTTGGACAAACTCAAGTAACATCGTCCACTTGAATGGTGTTCGTCGTAAAATTGCGCATCCAGGGCATCAACAAACATTCTGCAGACAAAAAGAAAACTCAAGAATGGGAACTCTTAAGCAAGAGTGCTATAAATAGGGTACAAGATCTCTTCCGAACCTCGAAAACATGACAAATTCTAGAAAAGATCTGGTTGGCAGAGCCCAGCTCTGCATGGCGGACCATGTAGAACCGTCCCCAGGCATGGGCGGTAAAAATTCCTGATCACCTTTTATACCGAACATCGTCTTCAATGACTCGGAGAAAGCAAACCTATTACCGAAAGGGGCATAGGCAAAGAATTGATATTAGAAGATTGTATAATGAGAGTTCAGATGTTCCTGTACATATGTTTTCAGGTCTTACTTGCAATTTCCAGCATTTATAGAATCACAAAATGACCAAAAATCAAGCTGGCGCGGGTTTCTTGGATCCGAGTCCATGCGCGCCCAAAAGTAAAGTGCATCTCCATGCCTTCGGGTTTGAATTGCAGCTAATAATGAACTTTCAGCAATTTTTGACAGTGATACCTATTCAAAGCACACCATCAGTTAGATAAAAGGGTGTTTCTTCGCACGGAAATGATAACGGTAAGTATATGCTGATATAGTTTTGTAATCCTTTATCGAATAGTCTAAGCGTTTACGTTTGTGAAAATAATCTAAAGATCATGTCATAGCAGCCAAGCTAGAAACCTAATGCATGGACACAGAACTTACCAGTTGTTTAAAGTTCAAGTGGTTTGTTTCTTATTTTCAGAAGAAATATAATAGTGAGTTCAAGAAAGAAACTTCAGAGAAAATATGGATAGAGAGACGTCACATACATTCCTGGCTGTTGCTCTCCAAGATTGAAAACCGATCCAAGCATTCTTGTGTATGCGGTCAACCCGGTTAGCAATTGCAAAGAAGGCTCCGTATTCGCCAAGTACATTACGGTAGTATGGGTTATTGAGAAGTGGAAGCCGTGAAGGTGCATCGATATCATCTACCCCAGGTCGCCTGCCTTTACTAGACTGCAAGAATTACGTTCAACATCGACATTCAGATGGTAACGACAACGAATCTTGCAAACATAGATACAATAAGAAGCCATTTTCGTTTATATTCGAACCAAACAATCAAGCAGAACTGAGAAAACAAGACGACGAGAAAATTTTTACGCACCAGCCCAATTCCACGGTAAAGAGAACAACGGTGCAGGAAAGGCCAAACTCCTTCCCCAAAATAAGGTTCATAAATGCATAATGGCTGTCCTGTCCTTTCAAGCTCCCCTTCATCCCTCTCATGCAAATCATTCTTAGACCTATCAGCTCTCTTAGCGCTTCGATAAACGTCCTCCCATGTGGTATGAGGTTGTTCCGTTCTATCTTCAATCTGTCAAATTCAAGTAACAATGATAATAAGAAAAAAATCTCTAAAAATTATAGAGAGCCAGGATGTGCTGCTTAAAATCTTACCTCTTCTTCCTCTCTTCTTCTTTTGATATTAGACGTCACCGTATGTTTTTCCTCCTCCCATATATCGTATACAAACGACTCACTAAAAGCAACAAGACTAGAAGGCTTCGGTTTTTTAGAATGGTTCCAGTGCTTCTCAAATTCATCTAAAATCGTGAAGCTTCTTTCGTTTCTGTTCAGGATGGTCAAATTTGATACCCCTTCAAATAACTTCCACTGCCATTTTTCTTTCAGTTGGGAAGGGATTTCAGCAACTTTCTTAGCTGGTGCAGCTTCTGATGGAAGCTTAAGAACAGCATCAAGTAGTGAGGCATATCCCTCCACAGTTTCTGTAACCATCAGATTTTTCACAGTGCCTCTTCCAATCGAAGCAATACTGCGAGCCAGTGGCGATAATCTCCCTTTCGAGACCATTTGCATAATAATTTGGGAAAGCACATAGAAATTTCCCTTGGGGAACAAATAGCCATTTACCCTGTCATCAACCTAGTTGTTATTGCCAGTGTAGTCAGTAGTTTGTCCAGAATTTTCACGCATGATAAATATTTTCTTTAAACAAAAAGTATCTTTCATTAAATATGCAAGTACAAAAAGAAGAAGCCACACAGAGAAGACTTCAATCATTTCAAAGGATTGCCAAAAAGGGAAAAAGTTACAAGGAATTCCAATTGTTGGTAAACGAAAATCGGAAATACCCCTAAGCAGTTTAGTGGTAGAAACACAAAGAGTCATACTAAGCCACATTCCAAATATCCTCCAAAAGCCCCTCATTAAAAGAACGGTAACGGGTCAAGCCCACCGCTAGCAGATATTGTCCTCTTTCGAATTTCCCTTCCCTCAAGATTTTTAAAACGTGTCTGCTAGGTAGAGGTTTCCACACACTTATAAAGGGTGTTTCGTTCTCCTCCTTAACTAATGTGGGATCTAACAATCCACCCCCTTCATGGCCCAGCGTCCTCGCTGGCACTCGTTCCTTTCCCCAATCGATGTGGGACTCCCACAAATCCATCCCCCTTCGGGACTAGCGTCTTTGCTGGCACACCGTCTCGTGTCTACCCCCTTCGGGGAACAGCCTCCTCGCTGGCACATCGTCCGGTGTCTGGCTCTGATACCATTTGTAACGGCCCAAGCCCATTGCTAGCAGATATTGTCCTCTTTGGGCTTTCCCTTTCAGGCTTCCCATCAAGGTTTTTAAACGCTTATGCTAGGGAGAGGTTTCCACACACTTATTGAAAAGGGTGTTTCGTTCTCCTCCCCAATCGATGTGGGATCTAACAAGAACACCGAGATAACTGGGAGAAGAGTGGGAAGATGCAACAAGGAACCAAAAAATATGTCATATAAGCGAGAACACAGAATCTTGAAGAGAGATATTATACAAGTATCAAGTCAAGCACATAAAGAGCAGATGATAAGTCAATCCATAAACATTCAAGTGTGAAAGGATGAAAGAACAGGTAAAATACATTTTACCTTGTTCTCTACGTGAATCATATCCTTCAAACACTAAATTCCAACTGTTAGAACCAAGGATCATTATATAATGAATTTTTTAAATGATTTCTTTGTTTATTATTGTAGTCACCCCTTTCTGTTGTATATTGGTTCTTATTTATGAATTATTTCTTATCATAAGCAATGATTGAGAACAAATGTATGACGTATCCGAACAGATATGAATAAGAAATAAGTACCATCCTGCCCTAGCATTGTATCAGAGAGTTGTACGATAAGAAATTAGAAACGTACATATTTCCTAATAATGGCAAGATCTGGAGCAATGATAGGTTTACCCATGCCCATGGCCTTCACCAAAACCTGTGGGAAAGATTGTTCTTCCAAAAAGGAACTATATATAACAAAATCAGCCATGCTTAGAGCATTGTCTGATCCTGAATCGACGGGAACATGCTCCACAATACTCCTTGGATATTCCAGTCTCTGAGCAATGGCCTAAGGAAAACCAAACGAGTCAATAAAGGCTAGCAATTCATTAATGAGAGATGTAAACCAAAGCTGACATGCACCTCAACAGCCATTGTGTAGTTGCCCTTCGAATCCCCACTTAGAACAAAGATCTTGAGATGAGAATTCAAATGTTCATCCAAAGAAAACTCGTGAAGTAGTGGTAATATGGCCTGCAAAATCATTGCATGTTCCATCCACATATCCCTATACAAAAATTGGCTTCCAACAATGGCAATAACCAAGTCATCATTTGCATAGCCCATCCTCGCACGCAGAGAGGTGATATCAATCTCTGATTCCAATGTGTCGAGAGGATAACTCGGAATCACAAAGAAATTCCCACTATCAAATGTAGAGTAGACCATCTGTGGAAATTTTAGATTCAATAAAACCAATTAACAACTTCATTACATCACAGGTTTACAATGTATGAAATTATTTTTTCTTCCTTGTTTTTTGTCAAAAAACCAAGCATTGCTAGGAAATGATTTTAAAGATGATTTACAAGAAACAAATTTCTTAGTGAACAAGTCTTTTTCTTTTTTTTTTCTGCAGGTTAATTAATTGGTTCATCCCTGTGTTTAATCTTGTTAAGCAAACCATTACCGGCATGACATAATTGGGAAAGACAACAACAGTTGAATGGTTGAATACTCTCTTCCAATCATTTAAAAGATCAAATAACCCAC